TATTTAGTTTTTGTATTATAATTTTTATCTTTACTTTAGTTATAGCCTTCTTTAATTAATAGTTTACTATTTAATTAATTCAAATCTCAAATTATATTAATTACTAGTGACTTCACTTAGTTAATCTTTATATTTTCTTTGATTTATTTTATTCTTTCTTTATTTTATTATCCTTTGTTAAGATAATATCTATAGATATTGGTACAGATTTTAGAAATCTTTGTTATTATTAAAAGTATAGTCTAATTTCTCTCTTATTATCTTTAATTATTTTAGTCTCTCCCAATCCTATATCATTAAGATGAATTAAAGTAAAATCTCACTTACCAATTCACCATAACAATAGATTGATAACAAGGTATATACATATATTTATGATAAATAATACTTTGAATTTACTTAAAGTTTATATTAAAAGTTATTCATATAATAGATATTTAGCAAGTTATGAAAAATAATTAGCCAGTAATATCAGAAATAATAGCAGAGATAGCAGAAAAAGAAATTAATGAAATGAAGTAAGTGACAAAAAAAATATCAAAAGTTATGAGTTAAGAATATGATTGAAAAAGATAATGATAAGAAAGATAATAACTATAATAATTTTATAAGTTTCTTTAATATTCTTTGCAATTTATTTTTTTAAAATTTTTAAAAAAACTAATTTTTTATTCAAAAGGTTATTAACTTGAATCACAAATTTATATAATATAGTTTTTTTTAAATTTGTATTTTATTATTATATATATATAGTTTATAATAAAATAAATATCTTTACTATTATTTAATCTATGAATTATATTTTTATTTGAAATTGCTACTACTATTTGAAACTGATATTATGAAGTTTTGTGTAGAATTTTAAAAAAAAATTAAAAAATTTGCGCAAACTTATATTTTGTTACAAATCTGTATAGATTTTTTAATTTTTTTTTTCTTTACTAATTATCATTAGATTTGAAGTTTTATGTAGATTTTAGACCTGAAGATCTGCACAAAACTGTGTTCTCAAAAATTTTCTGATAATAATTAGAATTTTATATAATTATTTTTCTTAAATTATATTTTTATAATTATATATTTTACTTTAATTAAATAATTATTAAATATTTAACTAAAATAAATATATTTACTAGATAAAAGTATTAAATTAATCAATCTATTATAAAAAATCAATAATATAAATAAATTTTAAATAATAATTATAAGCTTAATACTTATTTAAACATGTTAATTTTTTGTTCTAATATCTATTAATACTTTGATAATTGCTTATAGTTTTTAAAAAATAATATTAAATTAAGAAATAATTAATTTTGAGCAAGATAGAATTATTAGTTACTGAAAGTGCAAGAAAATTATTTATGAATTGTAAAAGCTCTTGATTATATTCAAGTATAGATTTTTTGAGCTATTAATATATTTTGAAAGAATAATAGATAATTATTAAATTTTAAAAGAATTAATCAAAAGTTTTGATAGAGTATAATTTTAGATAATTATCAAAAAAGATAATAAAAAATAGATAAATTATATTAAATAAGTTTACTTAATTAATTAACAAAATATTAACTATATTAGTTAGTTTCAAAATAATTAATTATTATCTTTATAAATTAGATTTTTATAGTTTTATTAAAGTAAAAAAATCTTTTATTTCTGAAATAAATCAGAAAAAATATTTTGAATGATATAAAGAAAGATAAAAATGAATTATTAAATTTAAAAACAATTATTTGAAGTAATAAATCTGATTTTTACCTATTTCAAAATGATATTCACAAAATAATTTGATATTAATCAAAAGAAAAATATGTTATTAACTATCTTATTTTAATTATTAAATATATAAGAGATAATATTATAATATAAAACTGATTTATTAATAATAGACTCACAATTGAAGAAAAAATAAATAGTACTAGCTATTTAAAACTGTTTAGAAATAATCTTTTATTATTCTTGAATAAATTAAAACTAAATTTATATACTTTTCAGAATGATAATTATCCAATTTATTAATTAAAACTAATATATTAATAAAAGAAGAAATTTAATTATTTCACTTTAATAATCTGTTCAGAATCTAGATTTTAATTCAATTAAGTATATTTGAAATTATTTAGAAAGAGCAATTTATAAAAGATAATCTCATTTCAAAAATAAGTAGAAATTATTTAAAACTTTGAAGAAAGAGTGGATAAAAATAGATATGAGTTATTTGGAAAAATTAATAAAAAGTATGATATGAAGAGTTTAGACTATATTAAAAGTAAAGATAATATAATATAATATTAAGATTACTAATAAAAAATTTATGATTCTCTAATTCAAATAATATGAAATTTATATAATATATATTAATAGATTCTTATTTTATTATATGATAAAGATATTAATATCTTTACTATTATAATATTAATATTTGATTTGATACTTTTATCCAGTAAGTATATATATAAATTTTATAAAATTCAAGTAATATAATATAATTATTTAAAATATTTATAATAAAAAACTATTATTTATAAAATTATGGAATATTAATAATAAAATTTTAAATATTTTAAATTTAAAGAATTTTAATTAAGAAAACTTTTATAAAAATTTGTTTAAATTATTTATATTTTTATTAATTTATTAGAAAAATTATGAAATTATGAACTTTTATATATTATTTTAATCACTTATATATATTATTTTAAAAAATTATTTTTTATTTCAAATAATATTTATAAATAATATATAATAGAATATTAATTTGAATTTCTCTTAGTTTTATAAATCTAATGAATTCCAAATTATTAAATTCTGAATATTTATAAATTCAGAATATTCATAAATCTGAATATTAAAAATAAATTGAAATATGTATAAAAAATATATATATATATTTATAAAGAATAAAATAATATAAGATATATAAATTTATATTATTATAACAATAATTATAATAATAATAATAATTATATATATCTTTATATATTTTGATTTTATAATTTTGAATATTCAGAATTTTAAATATTTGGAATCCTAGATATTTAAAATTTGATATTTTAAAATTTTGAATATTAGAATTTGGATATTACAATTTAGGCTTTTAGAATTAAGTTTGATCTATTAAAAAATAAATTATATGACTTGTTTTTATTAATAAATGATTCTTTGTAGTCACAATCACTCTTTTTAAGTTTTCCAGTTATTAAAACAATTATAATTAAAACAATTTCTTTATAGGTACATTTCTCTATAATAGTAAGACATATCCAAAAAATCACTTTAAATAATGAATCATTTGAATTTAGTCAATGAATAAATTATCACCAAAAAAGATAGTCACTGCTGGTAAGTCTAAAAAATATATACGCGATTTAATCGATACTATTTCAACGCCTGGTGCATATCTTTCATGGTGGCCCATTGATATCGGTAACAATTTGCGAGATTATACATGCCAGTGTTGTTACCGCCGAGCGCCGATTTCTGATACCAGTAGAATCCTTTTCGTGGATCAGATTTTGTGCCTATTCCTTGGTGATAACAATATCCAACCTAAAGAAATAAGTTTCTAATATTGTTGTTGATTTTACAAGGAATCTCCAAGCTAACAATAATATAATAATATCAAAAATAGAATACATCATTCTGAGAATGACAATTTCCAATATCTGCAAGTTCCTTAAACAACGTGAAGGCTTTCTCATTATTAACAGAAACACCAGACCCATGTAGATAACAATGTGCCAAACAAATTACTCCCATATCATCACCTTTCTCGGCTGCCTTCTCATACCAGTAAAATGCTTTTTCAGGGTTAAACTCCACCTCAGTACCACACAAATAAAAAGTCCCAATTTTAGTTTGTGCAAAAGTGTCGCCGCCTTCTGCCGCTATTCGATACCACTTTACGGCTGTCGGTTTATCGACTTCGCATCCAAGACCGAAGTGATAGAAGAATCCCAAGAGACAGCCGTAGGCAGGCTGAAACCGCTCTTGATAGACTAGGTCGAATAGTATTTCATAATTTATGTCTACGTGATCAAGCCATGATTTAAGTCGTGTGACGGTCAATTGGTCATCTTCTGTTTGATTTACAGAATATAGAAATATTTCGCGTAATACTTTCAGTGAGAAATAATTTACCATAAAAGGATTATCATTAACGTTATTGTTTTCAAAATAATTTGTTGTGGATGTTAGTATTGAATAAATGTCCTTTTCTTTTTCTTTTATATTTTCATCGCTTCCTTGTTTTTCGATTTCACAAATTTCCATTGGTCAAAATTTATAAGATGAATAAAAATGAATCAAGTACTTTTTATCATGTATCAATATTAATATCAACGTCACACAATATCGAATTGTAAATTAATTTATTATGTTATCACTATCGTTATGCGTACTAGTACATGTACATGTAATACGTAAACGTTAAACAATAAAGTATAAATACAGGTTCTGCACAAAAACCATTTGATACACATTTATACATCTGGCGCAGACTATGGCTTTTCAAATTTCAGTAAAGTATTTTTTTTCTAAAATTGGTTGTAGGAAAAATAAATACTAATAATGTTATTTTAAATCAGCAACAGCAGCAGGAACAAAAGCAAATAGATGGTGTCTCTGAAATGGAAGTAGTCTTAGGCAAGTGAATTTAATTTATAAAAATTTATAGACTTAAAATAAATATTAATCTAAATTTACTTTATAGAAGAAATATCATCTAAAAAATCAGCCGATGTTAGTAACAAACAAAACGACAACTCTACAATTTTATCCCATAGATCAAAATTAGAAAGATGCAAAAAAACATATGCCCATTATTCCGACGCAACAAAATCACTTCTCGCCGAACTAGCAAATTTAGTTCACACACTCGCCTTTCAAGATGGATCCGACAACGTAATAGTCAGACGTATCCGTCAATGGATCATCTCAAATAGAATCATACCCCAACATCTCTTTAAACTTTTACGAAGCAGCGTTCACATACCACAATATGCTTGTCTTCTCGCATTCTTTTACAACTATGAGATCGGCACTAGATATAATTCACGCAAAACATTAAAATATTATCAGTTAGCCGCAGAAATGGGTGATGGGTTCGCGGCAAATCAAACAGGAATTTGTTATCGATGGTCTATTGGTGTTGAAAAATGTGATTTGCGAATGCAAATTCGATATTATCGTATTTCTGCAGAATTGGGTCATCCGCAAGGGCAGTCAAATTTGGCGCACGCAATAAAGAGAGGTGATGTACCCGAGTTTAGAGATAAACGTGAAGTGTTGTTTTGGTATTTGAAGGCTACAGATACTGGGTACACGGCTGCATTTTCGTATGTCGCAGAATGTTATAAAAATGGGTGTGGTACTATGGTGGATTATCACAATATGCTTAGGTGGTATACAAAGTATTTGAAGAAAAAGAAAGTTGTAATTGGCATGAATTCCCTTGTTAATAAATTATTTAAGTTTACCTAATGCTACAGTGATACAAAAACACATGATAAATATGTCGAGTACTTAAAGAGTTTTATGTAAATTCCTAACATTTTTAATTTAATGCTTCAAGCTTTTGATTTAGATATTTGCATTTTTCATCGTCTTGGTCAGATTGAACAAAAATTTATATTTTTTATTGACTTGTATAGTATATGAAATCATATTAATTCTGATACAAGTGTCTATAATTAAATTTTTGATGACGTTTACATTTATAGAATATTAATATGACATTTGAATTACTATATATACTACACAAACTTATATATTTATTTATATATTTTATATAAGTAAAAATATTCTTTTTTTTATAATAATTATATTTATATTTATATTTCAATAAATTTATAACAAGATTTATATTAATTTTATATTAAAAGCTTATTATAATTTAAAGATTTATTATTATATTAATTATTAGATTCTTGAATTTTAATAAGTAATTTTATATTGAATTAATAATTATTATTTATTTTTTAAATAAAATTTTATTACTTATAGTAATATTAGAATTGATTAATTTTTTTTAACAAATTTATTTATCTTTTATAATAATTATAATAATAATTAAAATATTATAAAAGTTAATTTTATAAATAAAATATAATAAATTATATAACACTTTTTTTATATTTATATTTTAAATTTTAAAATTTATTAAAAATTTCATTTTTAATAAATTTAAATCAGATTGCTAAACTTAAAAAATATTTAAAATTATAATAAAAATTTTTAAATAAACTTTAAATATAATACTTAAAAATTTAAAATTGATTTATTATATAAGAAACTTTTTTAAAATTATTGAAATAAAATTTACTGAAAATAATATAATTACAATCATTTTTTTAGTTTTCTAGTTACTAATTACAGTGGCAACCAAAAGTAATAACTCAGGGACTAAATTTACTAATAAAATATAATGAAAATTGAAATATTCTCTTTATATAAAAATTTATAATTTTATTAAGAAATAATTTTATTTTATATTAAAATAAAGTTTATCAGTTGTAGTTTAACATATATTTTTTTCAGATTTTTTAGATTTTTTCTGAAAGA